TAGGTATTTAAAAAATAATTTTTCTTATTATTTTTTAAAAAAAAAACTATTTTTGTTTTGGCATTTGAGTGGTCTAGATTTTTAAATTAGTCTGTATAGTAAAAGAATAGTTTTGTACATGGAATCGTTGTTTCAAAAATCCTAGGAGACTCATATTTTTTATTCATTTACCCTATCATTTAGCCTTAGAAATTTTGCAAATCCGAGGGGGTTTTAGCATTTGCAATGGTCTAGATTAAAAATGGTATTTACGAAAGTTGTAAAAATGTTTCCATCAACTTCCAAAGTACATTAAAAACGTCCAAAACGTTTTGTCTGGAATCTAGGAAAATTCTTGGTCATGGACGTCTCTAGGATGAACTAGGTTTTGTTTCATTTTCTATAGTGTTTGGCAGGGATATAGGCGACACAAAAATAAATTTTTGATTCCAGGAATCGGGTTCCCTAGTGTCTAGTTTTATTGTTTTATTTTCGCTAATTTCAAACTAATATTTAATTCATTCCATTAAAATCCCTTAATTTTTTCAGATTCTTTCACTCTATTCGGTATTGACAATTTCTTCATGTATTATTTTTTGTTATACTCGTTCCTCAACAATATGGTTAGCTGAACGTTTTAAAGAAAAAGGAAGAGATGTAGCCCTTTTACATGGAGAATTAAGTGTGGATGAGAGAGCCAAAGTTGTTGAAAAATTTAAAAGGGGAGATCAAAAAATTTTGATTACGACGAATGTTGCTGCGAGAGGTTATTTTGAGTGTTAGAAAAATTTTTTTAAATTTTTTCTTTAAAGGTTTGGACATTCCACAAGTTTCTCTAGTTATTAATTATGATCCTCCTGTCACTTATGAGGAAATGCCACAGCCTGATTTTGATACTTATTTGCATAGAATGGGAAGGTAAATTAATTTTTGAATGGTTTTGGAATTAAAAAAAAATTTTTTTAAGGACTGGACGTTTTGGAAAGCCAGGAATAGTTATTAACTTGGCAGATTCTGATATTGCGATGAATTATGTATATCAATTCCAGGCTCATTTTGGTGAAGAATTTTTTATGTTAAATTTTAATTGAATTGTAGAATTTGTTTTTGGGCGCTCTCCCTTTTTTAGTATTTTTCCTTGTGTATTTTATTCTCCCTAAGGATTTATTAGTACTTTCCTGAAGTATTTTTGGCAAATTTTTTTGTCCTGGTGACCTTCAATTATATTAATTTTAGAAGATCTTTAATTTTAATAATTTTTTTAAAAAAGGTCGTGTAATTCAACCACTCGACGCTAACGATTACGATCAGATGGAACGAATCGAAGAAAGCACTCGTCAAATGTGATTGTCTTCTCCTTTAATTTTTGAGGCCTCTTAAAATTAATTTTTAATCTTAATTTTAATTCTTTAACATTTCTTTAATTTTTTCTAACGATTTATTTGAGTTTAGTACCTAATTTTCTTATATTTATTTTTGGAAAATTTATGGTACAACTCTTCTCTAAAATTAATTATTTATTTTTTTCTTATGTCCAAATCTAAAATAAATTAAAAAATTTTTAAAAACAATTTTTTTATTATTTAATTTTATGGCTTTTTGTGCCTTCATTTTTTAAATTTTTAATATTTTTTTGATTATTAATTCTGTCAGATATTAAAAAGATAATGAAGGGAATTAAACAAGATGTCAATCACGATCAAGACCAGATGATGACTGTTAATTCTGCCGAAGATGGCATTGTTGCTGGAATTTCGGGAGGAGGAAATAATCCTGGTGCTGCTACTACTTCGACTGGGGAGCCTAGGCCGCCGACGCTTCAAGTGGAGCATCCGACTTATAGGTTTTTTTTTATTTTTGATTTTTTGAAAGGTTAATGGACTTTAAGCGGGTTTGGGTCTATTTTCTTTTGGCGAAACTTGTATCGTCCCGGTTTCATAATTGTGTTCCAGCAAGAAATTGTAATCGTAGAAAATTTTAACTTTTAGGGTTGTAACCATACGACTCTTTGGGAACCGGGCAACGCTGATTGATATTCTCGAAAATTTAAACTTAAAATTTTATATTTTTAAGTGATAATTATGTCATCGATGGACAACAAATGATCTCAGAACAAAGAATGCGTGAAATTCTTGTTGAATTGCAACAGACTTGGTTGAAGGAATATAAACAAAATAGAGAGAAGCTTCTTGTTGAATTGACTGAAAAGGTTTTTTATTGATATTATTAAATTGGACTTATCTTTGGGGTATTTTTTTTAAGGGGCCTAGATTTAATTCTCTTCAAAATTTTTTTCGTTATATTAGGTAGAACATGAAATTCAGAGAACATAAAATTCATAGCATTTATTGACACAGGGGACTATGGAGGGTACACTTGAATCTATAGAAGGGGAGAAAGCAAGTATTTCGCCATGTTTGCATAGAGCAGCTGAAGAGGGTGAAATGCCTCTAGCAATAGTTACCAGTAATGCTCCTCAGACTTCTGAGGGCTTAACCTTTACTTGTGCTAACTTTTTCCTTTAAATTCCTTCTAAACTTTTTATTTTTTAAAGTTACATCAAGAATATATTTCTGATTTGCAAAGAAAGCAGACAGAATATATGGCTCAATATCGTGATGAAATGGATGCTGAAAGGTTTAAGAAAATTTTTTTAATTTTAAAATAATTTTTCTAGGTCAAGGCAAGAAGAGCTTTTTCAACGGCGTTTGCAAGATGAAGTTCAACGTTTAAATGAAAAGCATAGGCGTGAATTACAAATGGCTAAGAAAAAGCAATGGTGTTGGCAGTGTGAACAAGAAGCTATATATCATTGTTGTTGGTATAAAAATTTTTTGTTTTTTAATAAAACTCTAAAATATTTTTCTCAACTATATTTGGGGAAAAACTTTAAATTTTTATGTATTGTTCTTAAAGTTTTTGAGTGCCACGAAAATATTGTCCAACCGTTCTTTCTTTTTAAAAAATATTTTTTCGAGTTCTAAAAATTTTTTTTTATTTGATTTTTAACCTAAAATTAATATATTTATTTAGGAATACAGCCTATTGTAGTGTTGAATGTCAACAAACTCATTGGCCAATGCAGTAAGTTTATTTTATTTTTATTTTCTCAAAAAGTCTAGGAAATTATGAAGAATTTTTAGTGTGGTAAAAATTAACAAAAAAATTTTTTGAGAGAAATTTTTATTTAACATGGAAATATCTTTATTTTTTTTGCTTCAAATAAAGGAGAAATTAGATCTTTAAAAATAAAAAATAATCTTTTTTCTTTCTAAAAAGTCGTCGTTATTGTCGACGTAAGAAAACTGCCCAGACAGCATCTACTTTAACTCAACAACAAAATACATCATCATCAAATAATGGAGGTAATACAGGAACTACATCAACAAATACTTTAAATACTCAACAACAAAATGGAGAATTGCAACATCAACAACAACAAAGCAGTAATGGAACGGCCAGATAATTTTTTTGAAAAAAAATTATAATTTTTTTTGATTGAAGGGAGAAAAAAATGAGACATAAGATAATTTATAAAATTTAATTTTTTATTTGTAATGGAATATTAAGGGAAATTAGGGAGAGGGGATGTTTCTAAATTTCAGAAAGACTAAGTTGCCCCGATTTAAGTTGCCCCTCAAATTTTTTTAAGTGGGCTTAGCATTGTAATAATACATACAATTTGTTGAGTGGAGGCAGAAGCCAGTTTTCTCGGTTCTATGAGACATGAAAAAAATGAAAAAATTTCTGAGTCCATAGACGTTTAATTTTTAGGAACCGTAAAATATTGCCAAAAAGGCCCTGAAATAATTTTTTCCCTGTCACAATTTGCGCTTAACTATATCTTTTTTAGCCACATAGAATAGGAGTGTATCTGTTTTTATATGACCAGAAATTTTTTAAATAGAAATTCTTTCAATTTAAATTTCCATATACAAATATAAAATCCATCAACACATTTTTTTAATTTTTACATTTATTTTTCATTTTAAAATTATGACTGTTTTTCTTTTTAAAAATAAAATTTTTTCATTAAAGTTATTTTTCTTAATAAAATGAGACGTTGTTTTACACGTTAATATTTTCTGAATTTTTATACAGTCGAACCTCATTATAAAATGCTATTAGATATTATATACATACATCGATTTAAAGCACTTTTTTAAAATTTGGCCACGAGGGTCTAAGGGTTTCCCCCACGAAGCCGCCGCCCATGGTACCTTGGGTTGTAGTACCTTAATCTGCTTCCATTGATACCCCCTCTCCTATTTAATATACACCTCATTATAAGGAAAAAGATTTTCAATTCCAAAATCCTATGAGGTTCGAATATTTATTTTTAAAATTTTCTAAGAACTTTTTTAGAGAGGAATGGCTAAAGTAATTAGACAGTGTTGGGTTTGGAGGAAAAACAATCGAGTTTGGCGTTATTTGCCTCGTCGAGATGATAGAGTAAACAGAGTTGATTTGGATGTGTTGGCTGAACAATGCGAAACATTTCCGGATCCAATGCCGGTGGAACCTCCAAAGCTTTGGGTTGCCTGGATTTTTAGAGATTTGGAAAAGTCTGATGGAATTTTGCGGCAAGGAATTTTTTAAATTAAAATAATGGGGAGAGGGGGGTATTTAACCATTATTATGAAAGTTGAATTTGCTTTACAATTTTTAAAATCTGAAAATTTGAGGAAGTTTTAGTGAAAATTATTATAAATGGAATTTGTAATAAATTCTTTGTTAATTTTCATGCATAAGAAGAGTTGTTCCAGCTTCCTTTGTTAACTTAAAAGCTCAACCAAAAATCTCAGGCTTTTTAGTTCATTCAGGATTGAGTTGTAACCTAAAACCCTATCCGTAACTATTGCTTTGCTTTGTAACAAAATTTTTCTCTATTAAAAAGTCGTTTAAAAACCTTAAATTATTTTAATAAGTAATTTAAAAATTAACTAATTTATAATTATTTTAGTGATCATGTCCGTAAACTTTTTGGAAAATACCCCAAACCTGGGGAACTTCATATATTTATGAATACATTATCAAATAATAAACAACTTTGGAAAATTAAACATTTAATTGAAATTCGTCCAATAAGTTTTCCGAATGGAGAGCCGGGGCCTGAAGATGTTTATAATTTAGAGGTGGTTTTATGTGCTAAAATATTTTTGGAAAAAAACCATTTAAAAATTTTTAAATTTGAAAATTTTCCCGTTTGGAGTTAAATCAGTTTGTCTTAGTTTTGTCGGAATTTATTTATTTTAACTACTCCCATCCCAAAAATTTTATTGCGAGACTCGCATGCCCTTACTATTTCCCCAACATATTGGAAAAATTTCAGAACCGACATCCTACTCATTTCAACCAATCTTTTTTTTAATTTTCTGTTATTCAAACTGAAAGATTTATGTTGAAAACAAAATTTATAAAAAATAAATTTTAATTTTCTATTCAAAATTTTCTATTAAAAAAAGGTAATGGCAGACGGTAGATGTATTATTGATGAAAATTTGGCAGACCCAAGAAATGTTCAATTATTAGACCCAACCAAACAATTTACAAAAAATTATTTAATGTCTAAATTGAGAAGTAAAGATGCTCGTTTAAAAGAAATTTATGAGGATACTGTTTACAATCCTGAAAATATTTCTATTTGTTGAAAGTGAGGGGAATATTTTTTGGAGGAGGGTTTTAGTCTTGTTATTTTAAATTTTGAATAAAAAATTTTTTTCAATTTTTACAAAAATTTATTTTATTTAAAAAAAATCCGTAATGCAAATGTCAATACCCAAAGAGGTATCGATGGTTGAAAATAAATAACAACCAAAATGTTGGTTGCTTTCGAACCGGCCATCGGCTCAAGTCTATCCAAATTTCAAAAGGGTCTAGTCAGAGACATACATACAACTTTTTGGTTGAAAAATGAAATTTAAATTCTCAAAATTTTCGTTTGCGGCGCTAAAAAATCTCTTGTAGCCTTGTATATAATGAATAAAAAAATAAAATATATCGTATTTACTCGATTAATTCTCAGCTTCCAGTAAGTAAAAGACAATTAACGAGGGTAATTATTCAAGTAAATAAAGTATTGAAACTTTATTAAAAAATTCAAAATAAAGAAAAAAACATTTTAATTTATTTTAAAATTCTTGTACCGTAAATTAAAGTATTTTTTTAGATTTATTGGATTTAAATTTTTAATAAATTATTTTTAATTAAAATTATAAAAAAACTTAATTTAAATTCTCTGATTGAATGTTGTGACTTATAGGGGGTTTTTTTTGGCTGGACCGATTTGATCAAATGAGGTGTTATTCGAAAGAGCTCGCCGAGCTGAGTTGATTGAGGGGCGAGAGAATCAGGGACCGAGATACAGACCCCTGAAGTTTGAAAAAGAGAAGGAGGGAGTAGCTCATTTTGGAGTGAAAAATTCGAAAATGCAAATAATAGCTCATTCGACTCAGCTCGTCGAGCTGAGTCGAATGACACCAAAATCAGCTCGATATCTTGATTCTGAGCCAAGATAAACAGGTTCAAAATGGTCAGCATAAACCTATGGAGCGTCGGCGAGGCGCTTGTGCGAAACCCCGCGCTTCGCGCGGGGTTTCGCGGCACGCGCCTCGCGGGGAGTCAACGGTCGCTGGGTCTGGGTCAGTAACATAAACCTATTCCTATCTCCCTTACTCTGGACGTACTTACCCCCTTCTCTTTTTCAAACTTCAGGGGTCTGTATCTCGGTCCTTGATTGTTGGATCGACTTCACTCGCCCCTCAATCGACTCAGCTCGGCGAGCTCTTTCGAATGACACCTCATTTGTCCAAATCGGTCCAGCCAAAAAAACCCCCTATAAGTCACAATACCCCTCTGATTTTAATTTAAAAACTTATTTTTAATATTTCTTTTTCTAATCAATTTTTTATTTTTTCTTTCTCTATATTGGCTTTCCACATTAATTTGTCCTTTTTTTGAGGAATCATGCGCTAATTAGATCAATTCTAAATTTTGATTTTGGGTGGATGGGGATACATTTGAAGGAAAATTATTAGACATTCCACTGAATAGATTGGAAATTTTCAAAAAAAACTACAATCCTAGAATAACTTATTTGCTTAAAAATTATCCTAGGTAAGTATTGCGACCTTCACTAATTAACAGTGGTAATTAATCGAAGGAGGATAATTATCCCAAAGAAGGGTAAACCATCAACGGACGTTTCTGGCAACAGAGAGTATGTGTATATGTTAAAGATTAGGGTTGGGGCCCAATCCGGTCTCGTCCGAAAGATCGGGTTGGGCATCGAATTTGTCCCGAAAAAGATTCGATCGGTCTGGCCCTTTAAAAATGAGGCCCGAAAAAATAACTCTAACGTCGGAATAATCAAAAATCCCACTTCCAAAAAAGTTATAAACTTTTCTGAGTCCTCATATGCAAAGTTATTAACCGATCGTCCATCACAACTCCAAATATCGTTTTTATTTTTGTTTTATTTGATAAGCTAAGAGGAAACTTTGCCGGTGGAGTTTATTTTAACAATGTATTCAATTTCAAAAGACGATCGTTGAAAAGCATGTTCTGTGAAATGTCCTTACATTCCCATTTTTAAATGATAAAGCCTGGCAGAGTCCCATGTAAATTGCCCATCCCTCTCAAATAGCTTTTTATAAATAGTAGTTGCCATAATACTTATTATTAATTTATTTTTTCTTTTTTTTTAATTTTAGATGCTTTATTAAGCTAACCGTCATTTGGGGATCAGACTTATGGGGACCCGACAGTTAGGGGACAAAATAGAATTTTTAAAAAATTAAAATCAACTCGATCCGACTTGATCAGAAAAAGTTCAGACGGTTACCAAAATTAAATATTTTTTAAATTCAAAGAAAAATATTTTAAATCAAAATTTAGATTAAAATGTTCAAAAAATTCAATTCAATTGTTATTTTATTTTTCATTTTAAAAAATTATTCTGAAGGAGGAGGGCCGAAGAAGAGAAAAGGAGAAACAAGTGGGCAACATATCCAAGAGTTAATACAAAAATTTATTTTTATTTTAAAAAATATTAAGGTGGAAATGTGAATGGGATGGATGTATATATCTTTTCAATAATGAAGGTGTTTTTGATCTACATGTTAAAGAACATGCGAGAACGGCACAGGTCACAATAATTATTAAATTTGACCGGATGTTTTCATTTATCTGAATAGACGGTCACGACTCTTGCAGACGAGACATTTGCGGACGACTTTTGCAGATCGACATTTGCAGATAACGACACTTGCAGATATTAATTTTTGAAAAAAATTTTAATTCTCTTTTTTACGGAGGTTCAAAATGTTCAACGTAGACCTATGGAGCGTCGGCAAGGCGCTTGTGCAAAACCCCGCGCTTCGCGCGGGGTTTTGCGGCACACGCCTCGCGGTGAGTCTACGGTCGCTGGGCTCTGTGCTCGTAACATGATCCTATTCCTATCATCAAGAGATGGACTGCAAAAGTCGGGTCTGCAAATGTCATATCTGCAAGTGTCGTGGCACGGAATAGACTTTCCTATTATGTATTATACCCCTGCTGTTGAAAAAATTATGAATGGTTGCTTCAATAGGTACATCATGAAAAAAGCCCAGACCAAAGCACAGCTAACTGATCAACTCGATGATTAGTTGCTTTTACCATCTATATTCTTAACCCAATAAAATCCACTTATATCCAATGATATACCTTTTGATGTCCCTCAACAAAATATGAGAGCAATTAATCCTCAACAATCCCTCAATATTCAAAGTTCCAGATTTTAACCGGAAAATCCGATCCGGATAAAAAATAATTTTTGAAATCCGGAAACGGATCCGGCATTTTCCAAATTTCGAACTCTATATGGGAGGTTTAAATCAACTCTCTGATTTTTTCTTAAAATTTAAAGGATTTTATATGTCGCTGGTTAAATTGTGATAGACATGGGCGGCCTTTTAAACGTACAAGTAATATTGTAGATCATACTGTAGCGCATACAGGAGTAAAACCTTATGTTTGCACGGTAATATCTTCAATTTTTTTCTAATTTCTTAAATCATTCCTTTCAAGCATGTTAATGATGGTGTTCATTGCAGTAAAAGTTTTGGTCTTAAGGGTAATTGTGACAGACATCATCGTCAGTCCCATCCTCATTGCAATGAAGTATTTTTTTAAATAGAATTTGTTATTGAGAATTTAATTTTTTGCGTTTTAAAAATTTCTATATAGGGCTGAATTATTAAATTTTGTTTATTTCTCGGCAAAAATTTTGGTGTTACGAACATTTCTGATCCTCGTTCGAAGTATTAGGGATGTTTCTCCCGTTTCCACCTTCATTTATTAGAGAAGCCAGAAATATAAATCCATTAATAATATTTTTGTTCTTTTTAACTTTTAAAGGATTGTTGTAAACACATAACCGAAGGACATCAGCAACAATCTAATCACCCACCCCATGGAGGACAACAATTACCAACAAATGTAGAACATCGAGGAAATGAGGACGATTATTCTAATGAAGATTTAGACTTGACTTTGCGCCTTTAACAATGGATTCGCAAATATGTGCCCACAATTGGGTTGTTCCCAGGCATATTTTTAACAAAACAAAACAAGAGTTGACACCTTTAAATTGGAGATTTCTTTAAAATTCTTCCAAATTCATTTTATATTAAAATTTAAATTTATCGTAAATGTTAGTCCCTCAAAACTTTATTTAACTAATTAGTGTTGTTCTCTCCTTTTTTCTAGTTTGATTTCCCCCACTCCGGTTATTTCAAAATTCCTTATAAGCTTTAAAGCAGGGTTCTCATTCGTACTTTTTTGAAAGTATCTACTTATAAATCAACATTTTGGATTGAAAATGAAATTGGGAAGACATTGGGCAAAAAAGTGAATTTTTTGGCCTACTGCCTTTGAAATTCTCAAAATTTTCGCCTGCAGCGCAAAAAATAGATTTTTTGGTGCTTTCGGCGCCACAAAAGTGCATTGAAATTCAAAAATGCTTAGTTGAAACAAGAAACTATTAGAAAAGATTAATTTAGGATAGAAATATAAAAGATTTGAGCACGAATAAATATTTTCTAATTTAATTTGGAGTGTACTTTTTATTTGGAAATTTAGTCCCTATCTACTTTTTAATCAAGATTTTGATACTTTTGATGGGCATTTTGTCGATGAGAACCCTGCTTTAAAGTAAATTCCTTAGCATTCAGCTAACCTGGTTTATCTAAATTTGTTTTCAAATTATATTCATTTAGCATAAAGAATTTCTTTTCTTTCAGATTTTTTAAAATTAATTTTGGGTGAGAGTCTCATTTAGTTTATCTTGATATGTTTGAATCTGTTCGAATTTAGACATAATTTTTATGACAAAAAATGCCACAAACTCAGAGTTTCGATATCTGCGGATTTTTCCTCATTTTGTGGTTTTTTGATAAGGCGATGAGGATTATTTTTAAAAATGCGGATTTGCGGATTTTTGTGGTCTTTTGAAGATTATGAGGATTTTTTGTATTTTCTTGTGTCATTATTTTTCTGCTAAGACCGCCTAAAATCCTCAAAATTTTCGCCTGCGGCGCTAAAAAATAAGATATAAAAATTTTTGGCGTTTTCGACGACAAAAATTCAAGTGTAATTATTCAGATAATTG